AAATTCATATAAAACGGAATTATCAACAGTGTTATAGGGGGTCGACTGTATTTCATCATTTTGAAACAAACCGTCTTCCATACAATAACGCATTATAAATTGTGTCCTTACCGGGAACAAATGCCCCGACTGAACGCGTTTTTTCTACTGTGAATAAAGTGTGGACATCGACAAATCACAATTAATTAAGTGTTGAGACTAAAAAAGCAGTGTTATGTGTAAAATATAATTTAACAAATTCTGTTAATAACAAATTATAAAAAATTTTATAAATGCAATTGTCTTAATTTACCTTCACATGTCTTTTAAACAGATGATCATTGAAACTTATACGAGCAAACTGCTTTACACCACAGTTATGTTGAGGAGTTTCTTCATCTTCTGCATATATCAAATAATGTAATTTGAATGAATAATCATTAATAGCTTACTATATTCATAAAAATAACTAACTTATTCTAGAAAATCATAATTCATATAAATCTTTCATATAAAATCTGTTTAATGTTTTAGTATACAAATCTTAATTATGCTTAGTATAACAATGTATAGTTAGTTAGTGTGATAGAATTTCATTCCTTTATAACTTTTTATAGCTTTAATTTTTTAATTTCATTAAATATCAAATAAGTTATTGACCATCTAATATGAAAAGATTAGTCTAATAAAAATTTTTTTCATACTAGTTAATATTTTATCATTTTACTGTTTTATTAATTTTTTATAAATAGAATGTTTTGAGTTTCATAGAAAATATCAAAAATGATGTGTTTGAGTCTGAGAGTTTATTCAAATTCAGAGATGCCAACTTGAGAAGAGAGCTATTAGCAATGCAGGATCATATGTCATGGTTATGTCATGGTTGGAGAGGAGAACAAGGCCTCATTGCTCCATTTTTGCGATATTCATAAACTATCTTAATTTTATTCTAAAATATGTTCTAATGTCTTCAAATTGTAATGTTAATATACTTATTATTAATNTTATAAATTTTAATACAGAAAAATAAAAAATATTTAAGTGGTAATCAAAATCTAACATATGCATGTTTTATTATTTTCTATTGTCATCATAAGTTTTGTTTCGATAGTTTAAGTACATGCAAACAATCAAAACTTAAAGAAAATAAGCAATTAGTTATTGTGATATCGTCACAATGCCAGGATACAATTTTAATCATATTTTTAATTTATTTAATTTAAATTATATGCTCTCCACCTCAAATTAGTAGTGGCTTGCCCACGTACAGTACAGTACATCATACTTTTTCTTTAATAATAGTCATGCTGATCATCTATTAACTGATTTCAGGGGAAAACTTTTGAATTGAAATAACATGGCTTCGGGTTTGCATTGGAAGTTCATATATAGTTAATTGGGACCTCCTACCCCTAAGGTTTCCATATCTGGTCTCAGATTTCATCTAACTCTGTTCTTGAGATTAAGGAAAGACACACAAATGGACGAGTGGAAATTTATGGGTCTGCATTTTTTCAAATTGAGGCTCAATGAAAATTTTTTATTATTTCAAATAAGATTAATTTCCTATCTTGAAAAAAATACTAGTAATTTTAAATAACATTTTAAACATTTTCTCATTAACATTTTCAATATTTTAAAGTTTTTTACTTCACATTATTATATAATTTAATCAGTATTGTTACTCTTTTTGTAACACCATAAAGGAATGCGCATAGCCATTTGCACATTGCAGGACTGGTAGAGGTGACAGAGATATGTAAATGATTAAAAGAACAAAGACACGCAGCAGACATCTGTTTATTCAGTAATGAATATGGCTTTAATTAATTTTATCTGCTTATTTCTGTTGCATCTTTCACTACTTGTGCAGGGAGTGATCTGTGTCCTTATCTTGGTTGTACTGTACATATAGATATCCAGTTCCCTCAAATTAAGCAATCATTCTTCTGAGAGCACACAGTGTGCAGTGTGGGGGGGGGTGAAAAAAGATCGCTATACAATTTATTAAAAAAATTAGTGCCAATATATTCTGAGAGATTCTGTGCTGTATAACACATTTTTTTCCACTGTGCAAGCCCCAAGGACCAAGTTATTTTTTTATAAGTAGAATAAAATTCATTAATTTAAAAATACAAAAATTTGATTTTTGGTAATGTTTTGCACAACATGTAGCTTATTGTCAATGTCAATGAATTTTGAATTTGATGGTTTAAATATACTGAAAACTGCAAATCATTATGATCTTTTAATTTGTTTTATTAATTATTACTAAATGTTCAAATTTTTTATACTTTGTTTTGTTATTTTTGTCCTCTACAAAAGAAAAAAAACCAGATTTATTTATCTTTAGTAGTTGAGAAATTATTTGAGAACGAACAGAACCATGTTTCAAAAATATACTTTTTTATGTTAGGTTTATTTCTTTGTACTTACCATACACAAAATCATTGATTTTATATAAATTGCTATGAATAATTATTTAATTTATATTATTTTGTAAGCAATCTTACTTTATTGACATCAAAATTATTCAATTATTTTCTTTTATAATATTTTCATAGTTTATGCATATTGTTTTACAATTCATATTAATACTTATAGCTTACATGAATAATTATTAAAATTTCTCATTTTGATATTAATACATTATAAACTAATTTTAAAGCTCTTTGTAAAGTAACCCAACAAACAACACCCTGTTGTAAGGTTAACAGAGCTGAAAACAAAGCATATTCTCTAGATGTGTCATATGGTGAAAAAAAGTTTAAATGTTCTTGTAAGTAATAGTTTAAGTGTCATTTTTGTGTAATTTCACCGTATAAAAAAACTTTATTCCTAAAACATTAATAACATTTTTTTCCAGTAACCCTAAATTATTATTGAAATTATTTAATTAATTTATAATTAAATTTATCAATAGATAGCACCTAACGCCTAGCTCTAAAGCAAATTGTCTATTAAATTATTAGTATTATAGCCGTTTCTAGCCCAATAATATTCAGCTTTGGTAGATGGATAGCTTTAATCGTATCAAGTATAGTAAAGATGTTTGATTAAAAATTAGATTGTTTATAATATGGAAATTATATAAAAATTGTTATTTTGGAATAATTTTGTCAAATATTCTATTCTTGATGAAATTTCATTTTATCTACTGAACACTTTCATTTACTGTAAAATGTATATAAATATTTCATTTATTTAAGTGATTATTAAGTTTAAAATAAAATATAAGTTAAATCAGCCTATCTTAATGTGTTTAGGTTTCAATAAATTAGAAAATATTGAAAAAGTGAATACCTCTGGAATTTTCATCAAAATAAGAAAACATTTGTCAGATTTCAATTAAATAATTGATAATTGAAGTGTGCAATGCAGATTTTGCAGAAATTTTCAAAAATAGAAAACGAGTCTATGAATTAGTTGTAAAGTCCATTGAAATTGAGTTAACACATCTATGGCTTCAAAGGGTGAGGTGTCAGAATTGTTAAAATGCACTCAGCATTGCCCAGGTTCACAAGAAAGGCATAGTCTAGCAAAGTCATCACCATCATGATAGATCAGCCATGATACAAATGGTATTTCACATCCATAAGCAGTTTTATATCTAGAAATTGCCAATATCATATGTATAATGCATGTTTTATGTATTTTGCCACTCACAGCAACACAACTCCCACAGAGGTGAGTTTTGGAACTAAATATTACTCTGCAGAAATCTTGTCAGCATGTCTTGAAATGTCACCATACAACATTTACTTGTATTTGAATGGCACATATTTTTGCAGACAGCATTGAATAGGGCTACTTTAATTGTGATCACCCTATAGAGCATTTCTGGAATGATCACAAAATTTTATGCAAATTAGGACCAATTATCCTAAAGAAATACATAAAAATTTCATAGATGTTTTCTGCAATTGTATGATTGTTTGGTCAAAATGACTTTTCAGCTTTTTTATGTACTGGTATATAAAACTAAGTATAAAAATATAAATAACTAACAATGAATTTAAATGTAAAAATTTTTGTTACAGATTTCATGTTTTATATAAAAAATATTTTCATAAAAAACTCAATTGAAAGTTATTTATATAATACAGTAGAAAATATTAACATAGGACAAAATTTTTCTAAAGATCATGGCAATATATCTTGAGTTAGCAATTTTTTCTACTTGAATGAATATATTCATATACTTTGATTTTTATGCACAACAAAACTTTTTTATCATCATTTTACGGTAAGATAATATAATTTCAAAATTTTACAAAATAAGACCATATATCATGACTTAACTGTATTTACAAGTAATCTAAAAATTATTTGGCTCTGAAATAATTATTATATAAAACTGTTTCTTTGTACTACCAAATAAGGCAATATTAATTACCAAATTATAAAAAAAACAAGCCTATGAAATGTTTTTTTTACTTTACATTAAGACATTTTTTAAATATTTTATTTATATTCAATACAGCTTGACATCATTGGTATTTACATTAAATATTAAATAATTCTTTATATCATGTCAGATGTTAAAACATTCTTTAAAAAAGTCAGAATAAGAGAAATTATATTCATGCATCATTGTTTTTAAAAGCAAAATAATTATAAATTATAATATTTATAATTTATAAATGCAGTTCACTTTTTAATAATCTGATACTTCTTTCACTGCTTTTATAAGAATCAATATTTGTTAAGTAATGAACTCTGTTAACTGATATACTTCTCTGAATTCAAATGAATGTATCCAAAATATTCATTAAAAAATTAATGTATATATTTATTCCAAATAACTTTCTAATTTTACTTGACATTTCTCTATTTTTTTTTAAATGATTTAATAAATCCAAAGGATATCTGATCATCTTACATAAATATATAGTCATAAAATTTATACCTGAATTTAGAACTATTAATTAAACACTGTTAATAAAAGTAATATCATAATGGTTTTTAAGCATGAATTAATGCAAATGATATTTTATAACTTGATTATAAAAATTACATACTGTTGCTGGGCCAAAATATCCCTCGAATCTCTGTGGAGAGGGTGCTGTTGATAATGACCAAATACTTCAAAAACAATAGGCTGAGATCGGACATATTCCAGGAAAGATTTTGTCACAGTAACTGTTATCTAAATTTTTAAAAAACAAAGAAATAATTAAAATAAATTTTTAAATATAAAAAAATAAAAAGCTCATTATTATTATATAAAAATTATTTACATTCTGAACATGAAAAAATCCCGGTGGTGGCCCTTTAACTGTATTTTTTAGAGGTTCCGTTGAAAATGCTTCATCATGACGATGTAAAAAGCTGAATAGAATTATAATTATTGAAATTAATAAATAATAATTCACATAAATTTAACAATATATAGTACAGTATTGGTAATCTAACAACATATACAGGACCAGAACAGTGTCAGATTAATATTGCTGGATGGTTAGAAAATGAATTCAATGGTATATAAATGAATTTGATATTAACTGTTAATGACACAAGTTGGATCTAATCAAAATATTGTCATTGTCAGTAATCAGTGTTGCCAAGTTGGCAATTTGGATTCCTCTAAATTTAATGGGAAATTGAAACAACTGTAAAAAATTCAGTGGCCAGTACAGTATTTTTGATTGGCTATTTTGGAGTTAGACTATTTCTAAGAAAAGATCTGGCAATGTTAAACACATTATGGTTTTGGCAGTTCCTCTTTTGTTCTGTCTTGTCCTCTATCAGTGTAGTGTCAGTATATATGTCAAAATGGCAACCTACTAGATATTAATAAATCTAATTCTTTGTTATAAGTGTAGTGATCTAAATTTCTAAGCTCACACATTAACTGCAAGAGAAAACATAACAGGGAAAATATAAAAATCAATCGATTTTTAATTTACAGAGTATTGTGTTTTAAGATACTGAACCTTTTTGGGCCAGTCTAAGATGAAAAGCCTAAAAATTTAGAAAATATAAATTTTCTGAAGTTAATATAAATTTGAATACAGGAATGTCAGTTAATGCATGTTGGGATAGCTTAGTCAACTATAAAAACACTGATGTAAACCTAGTATCATTATCCACTGATGAGACTTGATAATACTAGTGAAATGCATTTGGATAAAAGGAAAAAGTATAATAAACCGTTTTTAATTGTTAACTGTCTACATTGTAAATTCCTCGAAGTCTGTGCTAATAGTGTTTATTTTTACTCAAAGACAATTCTGAATTTTTAATCCTTTAATTTTTTAGAATTCTAAATTAATTTTTAAAATAAATACAGTTGTCCCTCGATAATCCGACAGGTATGGGACCAAAGGTGTGTCGGATTACCAAAAGTGTCCGGATTACTGAAAATAATTACATATTTCGCATTGTTTTGCTAGCAGTAACTTACAATATTCTCTACTCCAACTGTTTGAGCAGAACTGCTCACATAAAACACACGAAATGTGTGTCATCGAGTAAGAATTGGATGGGGAGATTCACATCGCGACATGCTTCTGTGCAAGCAGACACGTAACAGGGACGGGTACCTTGATGGGAGGTGCGTCGGACTACTGAGCATGTCGGATTAAAAAACGTCGGACTATCGAGGGACAACTGTACTATACTAAAATTTAGAATATCACAATATTAACATACTTGAACTGACAAAATATATCTGCATATTCTTTAGAAATTCCTATTGCTTGTAGTAGTGTTACTCTAAATGCAAACTCCTTTCCAATTTGTAAATGTTCTGGAAGATCATCTTCATCACAACCTTCAGAAGAGATACTGCTATCTCCATGACCACTATCTTGATTGATGCGATCACATTCTTTTTCTATAGGTTATTGAAGACATTTTATTATGAATTAATTACTTAGCAAAATACAGAAAATTAATTATAAATGTAAAATATTGGAATAAATCATAAGTATAAAGATTAAAATATGATTCAATTTAAATATTTTATATTAGATCATATGTCATCAGAGCCATAGCAATGCATTAGCTTTTTACTTAGCAATCGCCAAGTAAAAATTTATATACCTTGAACTAAAAAACTAATGTATTATGTATATGTGCCAAAAACATTTCGACAGTTCTGCATGTCATATTTTTAATCAAACAGCAATTGTTTGATTAAAAATGTCAGATTATATATAACAGACAGTCAAATAAAACTCATGAAACTCTTTTATATCTTCAATATCTATTATTCAAGACAAACCTTGTCAGTAATTTGTTCAAGTATAAAAACAACAAATAATATAAAATTACATAAATATCATTTTATGAAATTATATTTCTAAACATACATTTTCTATGTTAGCACATAAATTCAAGTTTTCTATTAGAACAGTTTTACACGGATGTACATAAAAGCATAAATGCTATCATTTGTACTCAGTGATAATTGTTCCTTGACACAGGCTGTTGAGAGCTTGTGTGAAGCCAAGAGGTAGGTAGAACAGGCCCCTTCTACCCTCTTACCCATTTTTTAATAAATAAAATATGCAAAATGTTTCTTTATTAATAAAAGTAGTTTTAAATGTTTTATTTTTGTTAGTACAACTAACATTCATTTATATTGATAGAAATTACTATGGATCCATAAGTTTTCTCCAAACCTAAAGAAAATTCCCAGCTTCTCTCTTAATAGTCCTGCTTGACAAAACCATAACACTATCCATATCAATGCAGTTCAATTACCATTGTTTACATGTCCTTATCATTGTGACTAGTGCAGTATGCTGTATTGTGTACTTTATATATAATATTTACAAATTATTTTAAGATATAACTTTAGTAAGAAAAATAAGTAAATATAAATTCACCTTCAAATTCATATAGCAATAAATACTATAAAACAATTTTAAAACTTTTTACAATTTTTAAAATAATTCTTTTCACTCCATGAAATATTAATTTGGTTTAAAATTATATGAAATCTTCACTAATATTATGCTAGAGAACAAAAATGAAGATACAAAGAAAAAATTAGCAATTTTGGAAATGAAGGTAAGAAATATAAAACATATCATATTTATAAATTATAAGTCATTAATTTAAAACATTATTATGAGTAAAATCATTCAGTATTTTCATCTCAAAATTTCTTAATCCAAAATTATAAACAAGAAAGCTACTTCTTTAAAATCTAGCTGATGGAACAAATCAACATAATTGCTGCATCTTCTTTATTAAAAGTCACGACAGAGAATAGTCATATGATATCAAGAAACATTGCATTTGTGCTAAATACTCATAGTCTAAATTCACCAAGTAAAATATTGCAGAGGCTAATAAAATTTTAAAACCATACAAATCAAAAATTTATAAATTAAACATAATAAATTCTGATTTTCTATTATATAAAATGTTCATTAAATTTGATTTCTTACAATAAGCTAGATTCTTCCTCTTATTTAAGGATATTAAATATGTCAAATTTCCAATGTTTTATTTTTATTTAGAAACTAGCTACAAGGACCCGCTTCGCTGGGCAAAAAGTAATGATAGTGAAGATTAAGATAATTACATTATAGCTAATCTTACCCGTTTTCACAGAATGCAAGAATTAGGTCCCCCGTTTCCAGACTAATTAGAGAATTTTTACGTTTAGTCAAACGAACTACTTTCAACGTTTCTGGAACGTTTACAATCGTTCTATAATCGAACCAATATTCGAATT